ATTTGACACTGTTACATTAAAGGGGTCATAGAATGATTATATAGGGTACTTGGTGTTGGTCCTTAAGTTCTCTGAATAGGGTGTGTAGCATTGGTTGGGTTGAAAATAGCATATTTGCTATTCTATAAGCCCTAATGCAAGCCTGGTTATAAGCCCCAGAATGAACCGACAAGTTTTCTTCCTTTTATGGTATGCTCATGAGTATTTAGATGAGCTGTGCGCTGATTGGTTGGTTTACGAGTGAAGCTGCTGAGCAAAGATGCATCAGAGCAGCAAGCACTCACTCACTGAAACATCAAATTGTTTATATGGTGAGGTGATCAGACGTCCTCCTTTTCACGGTCCTACTTTTCATACCTAAAAAATTGTCCGGGGGGAATTTAAAAATCGTCGACTACATATCAGAAATTTTAACATTTTAACTAAGTCATAATTCTCCAATAGTATTACCAAGCATTTAAACTTAATAACGGTGGACCTACTCGTGATCTATTTAAGTTGTGCATTTTAGTTTGAAATCTGCTTTGAAATCCTCTTGGCTTAAAAGAAAGAAGAAATTAAGAAATGTTCCGATGATGTAGTTTCCAACTATGTTTGCTTTGCTATTACTAAAATTTGTAGCAATGACATCACAGCTTATGCCAACCAATATTTGCCAAATACCGGTATGAGATCCATAGAAGGTACACATTGAAATGTTAAGACACTCATCAGTTTGGATAAGCTGTAAAGTAAAATCATTTAGTCTCAGATTCATTTTCTTGCAATTCATAAATATTCCTTCATACACATTTCCAAAGTAGATAATATCGTGTAAGAAATTCTCATTTGACTGTTAAAACCAGTATCTGCTGATGTGTATGAATACAATTTCAGTTTGCACAGCTTAAGAGCAAACGAGAATCAATGCACACGAACATGCAACTGTTGATCCAACAACTTCTCTAGTGTGACTCAATGATGTAGTGTTGTGGTTTTCTAATACATGATAAATGATTCCCAAATTGTTTGTGCTGTTCATTGTAAATTAAACCCTCAACGACAATAATTCATCTTTACTGTGAAGCAGTGGAAAGCCTCTGACAGCCCATTACTGTACAGCATAACCATCTGTAACATAAGCTTTATAGACCTGCTCGGCCAAAACTAACAGATGCAACATGCCTCAGAACAATATGCTCATAATGGCCGGAAGTTCTGGCCGTGTTTAGATTAAGTTTACACGCAATCTAGTGGTGAGCACCCGTGGATATGTCTCAGTGGACCGCTGGGCCTAGATGTAAATGATAACTGTCTGGTCAGCTGCTCAGTGAAACAAGAAATCCCAGCCAACATGATCTCGGCATCGCCTACTCACGTCTGCTTAAATGCGTGCAAACCATTTTTTTCTCTGCAAATGGGCAGTGGAAGATGAACAAAAATAACTCTGCAGTGGGTGTTTCTAAAATTACCCTTCACTCATGGTAGCTTTAACTTCTGTTGTGTGTCTGCTCCTTTTACTGAAGAGTAAAACTGATGTTATTTATTTATTTTACCAAAGGGAAACAACAATGCATATCAATCCACATGTGCACCAATGCCTCCGTGCTCAGATGCAGAGATGAAGAGCGACCGAGTGAAAGGAGGAGGGGGGGGTATTATTAGGCCAAATGACAGAAAGGGACAGTGTTGTGACAGTGAGCAGCTGGTGTTTCCAAGTGTTGACAGGCGCCTGTTTTTTTTGTGTTTGTGTGCGTAAATGTGTGCACTTGATGGAGACAGATTGGGCTGTGATTGTTCATTTCTGAGCAAGACTCCACTCATTGGGGGTTATTGACGGCATCTGTGAGGAAAATGAAAAACATGACAAATGGCACACAACCAAATGTTCCTCTTTATTTTGCATCTCCAGATACTATGTTGGCCTGAAGGCATAAACACCCTCCAATTTGTTTGTTTTATTATTAATGTGCAAATAAAAGGAAAACTAGTTTGAATGTTTGGCCATGAAATTTGTCCATGGATTTTGAAGATCAATATATTCGAATCCAAAGGTTAAGTGGTGTGCAACTAATTGCTGGGAGTCAATGTTAATAATGCTGATTTTCAAGTTAGTGCTGTTGCTGTCGTAGTGGGCTTAGTCTGTTGTAAGCAGATATTTACATACGCTGTTTGAAAACAATGCAATATTTTGTCATCCTAATACCTGAATATAATTGAGAAAAAAATCTTCCCTATTGGTCTTCTGTTAGGATGACTGGAATTATTTCTGTGCAAAATGCAAGAATAAAAAGAGATTCCTTCTTAATATTCTTTAAGGATGTTTACATACATAAAAGTTGCTTTATGTAATGTACAATTGTATTCATTATTTCTACAAATAAAATTGGAAATGGGCAGTTAAAGATGAAGGTACGTTTTGCTCTAGACTCTTTATTGCTAAGTTGGTCACATTCTTAGTTAATGTTGAGCAAATGTACCAAGATCTCCTCCTCGTTTTCTTTTGATTTATTTAATTGCGTATTCTAGTATCAAACAGAAAAGAAAATCCTGTAATCCCAAACAACCTCAAACATAGACGCCTAATATTTTATTGTCGAAAGAAAAAAAAAAATAACAAAGAGGTTAGATTTTCAAACACTGTATGAAAACATCCAGTTACAGCATTATCTGTGAGCTACCATGTGCTGCTGTGCCTTCTAAACAATACGTAGGATGTAAACCAGCCTCTCACCTCCCCATATGTTTACTGAAACACGTTACAAGCCACAGGCTGATCCTTTAAATTACCTTTGCTCCTTTGTGTGTTGTCGCTTGTTTTTGCCACAGGTCGCGGTCTATTAGTGGAGCCTCTTCTGGCCTATCCACCAGCCCCCTCAGCAGCCCACGGGTAAGTCATAAGGCTCAGACACAATCGCTCACCTTCTCTGTAACACACTCATACTGGTTAACGACCACCCAACTTCTGCTGATACCACATTATTGCTGTTGTGTTATTGCCGAATTTGTCTGCAAGAAAAGTAAAGCAGCTTTTTCTATTGTATACACTATACAATATTCCATATTGCAACTAGAACTGTTGCTTCAGAATAGAATTTATTTACAGGCAAACACAAACTTATCCCTGTTACTCTTATACCGTGAAATAATATCCAGTTCAAAAGCCCAATGTGTAATTTAAGCTCAATGTAAGAATGGTTATTCTGTGAATGCGTCAAACAGCATCATGGAGACTTGCATATCTCTGATAAGTTTGAAATAAGTTAGAATGAATTTATAATTGGGGTTAGAAAACAGAATCTTAAGCTTTGAAATATCAGAAAGAACTTTTTAATCAGTCTTCTAAAAATAAAAGGCTTATGGACCGACTACACCTTACCAAGACATAGTTACCTAAACTGGCAAAATGAGTAAGAAGACCACCAATTTGAGAGAAGCCTGTAATAAGCATTGTGGAACTGAAAGAGGACAGAACAAGTAGTTTTGCATTCCACTCATGTGGGGCCTCATGTATGAGAAGAACACAGCTTTCATACTAAAAGTCAACGGCAGAGAGAAATTCTTAAATTTGTAGCTTACAATTTATTTTGTAAAAACTCTGTACAGTACAATACTGTATTGTTTTATGTTCTTATCTGTTATTTTTATACACTTTTCTAAGGTCCACATTGTGTGACCACTTCTTCTATAACCTTTTTGCTGCTGTAACACTACAATTTCCTCATTGTGGGACGAAAAAGGGATTTTCTATCCTATTTATCATTAAGAAATTAATAATTTAAGATTTAACTCATAAAAGCTCAGTGTCATGAAAAGCATCAAAGTACCTCTGGTCCTTGTGTTAAGGTCATATTTCCGTGTAATTTCAGTGAGTTTTGTTCCAACAATTTAATTTATTTTGATGCAGCTTTAATTTTTTGTACATTGCAGGCTGTGCTTAAAATATTTCAAAGCAGATATTTTATGTGAATGCATGCTTCCTGCATCAGAACCCTGTTCTTCTTGGACTCTGGCAAAGAAAAGAAAAAGTAGCTGCATTTTATTGGGCTATCCAACTTATCAGATTTGTCTTTTTACAATGCATTGTATGATGCTTTTAGGGAGTTCATGGCTCTGCATTATGGGTAAAATGCAAACACCCAGGCAGTTGCTGTTATGCAGCACTTAGCTTACCTTATTTTATGATTTAGGATTTTCTTTTACTAAATTTAGCATCTTCTATGATTACTGTAACATCCATTGTTAGACAAGACTTTAGCCTTTTTATTCAACGCTTAGACATTCACTTTATAAGGCTGTTCTCTATAACTCGAAGTATAACTTGGAGACTGTATGTTAAAACAAACTTTTCCCAAACTTGAAGACTCTTATCCAACCTCTCCATCCTCTACACTTACATTATCCCAGCTTCTTTTTTTTCCCGTTCTGAGCTCTTTAGAAATCCACATCAGAGAATGCTTCAGAAAATCCCACTGTCCTTGCTCAGAGCTGGTGAGCATGCAGTAAACTTTTCCAGTTGACTAACCTTAGAAGGCTCAAGATTATCCAGGATCCAAAGACAAACCCCCCTTACACAGACAAACACCACATGGCTTCTTTGAGGCTGATCTGAAAGGGAAATTGATTTCTCAGATGTACCGATCACTGGGATTGTGCTCTCCACAGGAGGCTCTATTTGGAGTTATTTCTGGAGAAAGGGTTGGTGTCCAAGGCAAATGCTGGAGTTTAGTCTCTCTGGTCACAGCATTAAAAGTCAAACAGATCAATAAAGCTATTAAGAACCCAGGGATCTCACCGTATAGATGCTACCAGCAGCTTGTTGTTGAGGCAGTCCAGACTTTAACAGCTGGCCTTATGTCTTTTGCATCTATCTTTGTTTGCTTGCTTTTCTCAGCTGCCAGAGCTTTGTTGATTTTATGCAATTGAAGCCAATCTTCTTATGTCTCTGTTGGACTTTACTTCATGTTGCTTGTATTTTTTTTTTCTCCCATGTCAGTTTACTTTTGTCTTGTTTGATGTAAGTCGTTCATGTCATAATTTTTTGTTGTTGTTCTTGTCTTGTAAATTCTCAATTTCCCCTCCCACCATTTCCCTTCTAACCTTTGTCTGGCTGTTGCCTGTGTTTGCATCCATCCCCCATGTGTTTTGATTTTTATTTTAACATCCACCTGTTCTTCCTCTTGGCTGTGTTGTCCTGTGTGTCCCTATTACTGCCTATTTCTGAATCCAGCCTATCAGAAAATTCTGTGTACCCCCTCAGTCCCCGGACTTTTCTGAGTCCCCTAACACAAGCCCGTGTCCTTCCCCTGAACCTCTTCCAAATCGCACAGGCCCACGCATATCCACACCTAACTCCCTGGCTCCAAACAGTGAGCCCCTGCCAGGAGCACTCAACAAAACACAGACACTCCCCGCCAAGCCCAAAGTTGCCCCAAAGCCTTTACAAGCCACACGATCAAATCCTCTTCCTGAAACATCCCCTGATCCAGCACCTGCTGCCAAATCGGAACCATCCACTCCCTGCCAGCTGCCATTGCAGCCCCCCTCTACCTCTGTGCCTCCTACTCCTACTTCTTCATCCTCAACTTCTCCCTTTACCTCCTCCCCCATCTCCTGTGGTCCCATACCAAACAGCCCCCAGGTACGCCGCTCCCATTATGCTGCCAACTCCCAGCTCTCGGTTCCCTTCAGTCCAGTAGCACCCATGTCACCTATCAGGCTACACCACTTTCACCCTGTGGCACCTTTTCCTTCTCCATCTACTGACCACCCACCCAAATCTATCCCCCTCATACAGGTTACCCCTCACCCTTCCCCTCGAGGCAGCCCCCTCCCAACCCCAAAAGGCACTCCAGTACACACTCCTAAGGACAGCCCTGCAGGAACTCCGACTCCCACGCCACCCCCAAGCCCGTCCATTGGCGGCATGCCTTGGAGGACGCGCCTCAACTCCATCAAAAACAGCTTCCTGGGGTCTCCACGCTTCCACCGTCGGAAACTCCAAGGTACTCATTTTCACCTTGAGCTAGAGTTGAATCAATCAGAATTGTCCCTTGAATCTTTAGTTTGTGTATTGCTTTGACCTGGCCCTTTGAACTGTCATACAGTTCTAACACCCCTCCTTAAAAAATACTTTCTCTCTTACCAAGTTTTTTTTTTGCAATTTTTCTTTTTATTTTATTTTCCTTTTCAAGGAACTTTTTTTTTTTAAGAAAAAAATAAGTCTGGCTTAAACTGCTACATAGCATAGGTTCTGCCTTACTAAATGTACTCTGACATTGTTTTATCCATTGATGGTAGGTGTTTAATCGCCCTGCTGCTGCTAGAACTAATAGTAACCGTTGACGATCATTCTGTTCTGTCTTGCGTAGGCCTCCATTTTGGTATCTATTGCTTAACACTTTGTTTACATCCTATCTGACACTCAGGGCATTTACAATTAAAAACAATAAAACTGTCTCTTCCTCCAATGTTCCTCTTTCATGTTGGTGTCATAGAATACTATACTTTTCCCCTTACATTTTTTTTCTTCGTAATGCCACCTGCAGCTCTTTCCTATGCTATGCAGATGATCTCAAGATGTATCTGCCCAGTCAACAATATCTCTTTATCTCCCCAGTAAATCAATGATTAAACCTAAAATTTCTAAGCATCCTTGAACAATAGATCTCCTTGTTTGGCCAAAATGGCCACCATTGATTTCAGCGCTCTCTTAACTGTTAAATGAAATCACATTATAATAAATCTGGGGATGGTTTTTGCCAAAAAATTTCAGCTCCACATATAATTTGATTTATTTGTTAAATCAAACCTTTTACCAAAATGTTTTTTAAACTGTGCTGATCTTTGGAACACTTCCTTTATAAATTTCAATATTCATTCATTTATTTAACCTTTGTTTGACCAGAAAAACCCCCATTTATAATTATATTCTCTTTTACAATGATACCAGTTATTTGCTACATTAACATGCATGAACTTTCTTCATTCTGATCTAAATCTTTGTTGATCAGAAGTTTGGAAAATCTCTGTTTAAATGGACACTAAATAAAATGATCCAATTATGACGTGTGTATGCATGTCCAAAGTGTTCAGATCAATTCTGAGCGTGTGCAGAACTGTCTCATTTTTTACGAAATGCTTTAGTTGTAGTAGAATAAGCAGCTGCCTGTTTTGTAAACCAACCCAAACTTGTCTGCTCATCCTTAACTTTAGTTACTCTTTGTTCCTTCCCCCCACATTCACATCTTTGAATCTTCAGTCGTGTCTTTTGATGTGTTTTTTTTTGTTTTTTTCCTACAATGGACCCTCGTCACATCATGCTACCTTAGCTAATGCTCCTTTGCTACAGGGATGGAGGGCAGCAAGGTATATTAATCTATAGATTACATTTAGATCCACTTCCTCAACCAAAGAGGACCAGCAGCCAGTGAATAAAGATTTGTAAAGAGAAAGATGTCACCCTGATGTTGCACACATGCACAGGGCAGATTATTTTACTCCAAAGATCAGAATGGGTGTGTACCAATCAGAATGGTGATCGGAAAAAAACACCTCTCAACAGGAATGAAATTTCTTTCCAATCAGACCGAATCAGATTAGAATGTTCAGTCTGACATGTTTATATGACATTTTTCATCTGATAAGGTCTTCGATCCGATCTCCATGTAAACATAGCTACCGTAACACTTTTTATGCTGCATTGCT